GGCGCCTGGATGGCTCAGTCCGTGGAACGTCTGACTTGATTTTGGCTCAGGTCATGATCTCAGAGTCATGAGATCAGGCCCCTTGTTGGGCTCTGCACTCAGTGAGGAGTCTACATGAGATTCTCTCTCTCTCTCTCCTTCTGGCCCTCCCCCCACTCATGCTCTTTCTCTCTCTTTCTCCCTCTCTCTCTCTCTCTCTAAAAGAAATAGATAAATCTTAAAAAATTTAAAAGATAGATGGTACTTCATAATATTAAATTCTAATTCCTTAGAGGTCACAAAACAAAGAATGTTAATAGGATATAGTATATAGCATAGGTATGGTTTAAATACTAGTTTGCTATGGAAAGCCCAAACTCTAATAGCTCATTAGCATTACATTTAGATGGTTGCTTGACCAGTAGCTGTAGAGTTTGCATGAGCTCTTTATACTTTAAGTAGTATTTGAATTGGAAAAAGAAACGTTTTTAGGGAATTGTGAGTGTATTTACATGCTCAGGAATCTTTAATTCATCTAAGTACTTTTGCTTTTAGCTGGAAATGGGAAGAGAGAAGGACAGTAGTGTGAACTATGGCCAAGACCTAGTCATCTGGCCATCTATGCCACAGTCCCCAGAATCACAAACAAAACAGTGATTAATATGACCCTGAAATTTTACTCCTGGGCATATACTGAAAATAATTGAAAACAGGTAAGCAAACAAGTACATATATAAGCATGTTCATAGCAGCACTATTCACAATAGCCAAAAGATGTCCATCAGCAGATGAATGGATCAATGAATTGTGGTAGATACATACAATGGAATATTATTCCATCATAAAATGGAATAAAGTAGTGTATATGGTACAACATGGATGAGCCTGCAAAGTATTATGGTAAGTGAAAAAAGCCAGACACAAAAGATCAGAAATTGTGTAATTCCATTGATACGGAATACTCAAAATAGATAAATCTGTAGAGACAGAACATAACTTGATGCCTGCCAGAGTCTGAGGAGAGGGGGTAATGGGGAGAAAATGCTTAATGGGTAAAGGGTTTTATTTTGGAGTGATGAAAATGTTTTGAAACTAGATAGAGGTGGTGGTTGCACAGCATTGTGGTTTACTAAATGTTACTGAAGTGTTTACTCTAAAACGGTTAATTTTATACAATGTCAATTTCACCATGTTAAATTATTCAAAAAAACAAACGGAGTGGCCACATTGAAGCAGCATCATATCCCATATTCTCAGAGTCACAATTGGTTTAAATAAGTATACTCCATGAGGAGAGAATGTGGAGTTTGTTATTATTGATCCTAGGGAGGCTGATGAGGGCTGGAAGCAATTTCACAGTTTTCTTGAAAGATGAATTCAATTTCCCTCTTAAATATATTCTATTTTATTATGACATTAGATTATCAGAGCTTGTGAAAATCACTATTAATGGCTAAGTTTCTGTCCCATGTGCCACTTTATTTTCCATGCTTGCCTGAGATTTCAGTTGGTCTCATTGATCCATCCGAGAAAATGAAAACAGGAAAGTATAAAGATGCTCTTCTTTTGAGATGGATTCTCTCTGTACAATGGGAAGATAATTATACTGATGTGGATGGGCAGATGAGGTTATTCAGACTCAAGTGCTTTATTTTTGGCTCTTAAATGGTTTAGATTCACCAACCATATAAATAAAATGATCTGGATAATTATAAATAGTTTTTATAGTTTATGTGAACCAGACTGTGAAGCTGTTGGTTGTTATTTGTACACATATATGAGTGGCAAAGCAAGTGCTTTCCATGGCTGTAACATCAATCTCTAGATTTTTCAGATAAAGAAGGCCGTTACGTTTTTGTGGATCACATCTTTGCAAACAACAGTTTGTTTGTTTGTTTGTTTTTTAAAGCTTTGTATATATTGAGAGCCATCCATATGCTAGATGCCTTGCTAGGTATGTTGCATAAATGATTTATAATCCTTAGAATATCCCTGAAAGGTGTTGTTATTTCTTTATTACAGAAGAAATAACTGAGGTTCAAAGAAGTTAAGTGACACACTCAAGAGGATAAGTGGTGCTAGGATTCCCCCCTTTTTTTTATTATTATTTTGTTTTTTAGGATTCGCCTGTGGACACTTAACTGTATACAGCTAGGACACTTTGTAACGAGGATCCCATCCTGCAGCTCACTCACAAATTACAGACCCTGCTTATGACTAGTGGTTTGGTTTCCCTAAGGAAAATCTCATCTGTTTGCTCACATGTCTGAATTAGCCTGTATAGACAAGCTATCAAAATGTTGGTGGGATTATTGACATTTAACTGCACTGAGGAAATAGGTATATCAGTTTATGTGAAAGCTTAGGTTTTACAAAGGATTTGAGCTCCTGACATGAATAATGAGGGTGCTGAGTGATGACTGGAGAGGATGTTAAATTTGGGTCTCTGCAAACCTGAGCAACTGGGAATTTAAGGAAGGCAGAAAGATGACAGAAGTTGTGTGTCTGTCTAAGTCATTCAGAATTTGATGTCAAATCACTCTTCCAATGTGGATTTTCTCTTCTCTTCATGCAGCTTCCCTACTGTCTTCTAAATACATGGTATTTTCCTACCACCATACTTTTCGCTGATACTTTCATTGCCTGAAGTACCCTCTTTCATTGCCACCAAGTTTCTACCTTTCTATTTTTCCTTGTTGATAGCCTTCTGATATCAAGCTAGACCCCAGAGGACCTTCTCTTCCCTGAGCTACAACCGTATTTTCTGTTTGGAACTTGGCATTTACGTTTGGACTAAGTTTTCTTTGTATATGTTTATAGCTCGTCTCTGATATGAAGCATGAACTCGAGCGGGTAAATAATAGTATCTTCATTAATTTTTACCTCATCATACACCTTGGACATAGTACATGCTCATCAAATAGTACTTGATAATTGTATAACTCTTGAAGACAGAGTTTTCTAAAAACATATTCATAAAAATACCACTACTAGGAGATACTCTTCTCAAAAAAGGATGGTCATTAGTCAGATAAGGCTGAAAAACACTACCCACCATTTTCACCCTGGGAAATTTACACTGTACGTTGGCATTTTCAACACTCTGAGTAGTTCTTCAGTAGTGAGACCAAGTTTACTGTTTTAACTCAGTATTCACAGCTTTCTCCCACTTTTTTGTAAGAGCCCTACTAATACCTATTATTCCTCAAAAATGTCCTTTGCAAGACACTGCTTTAAAGTGCTTTGTATTAAAATTATGTTAATAATATTCACAAATGTGGAAATTAACTTTTGATTAGATGCAGGTTGGGCATTTGTTTGGTCTCCTTGCTCCTGCACTTGGAAAAGTACTACCTCTCAGCTGTATTGGTGTGTGTATGTGTGTGTGTGTGTGTGTGTGTGTGTGTGTGTGTGGCAGAGAGATAGTATCTGTGTGCATGTATATATGTGTGTAACATACAGTGTGGACTCAACCTGTAAATAGATTAAGACTGAAAAGAAAATGATTGCAACTGGTCTTTCAGCTTGATTATCTGCTAGAATCTCTATTACTTCCCATAATATGCTTGAAAAGTTTTATTTGTACCTCAGGGGCAATGAGCCTGGCCTCATTTACAAATATGAATGCAGATATTAACAGTGTACTGTCTTCTCCTCCAGGCAGTCTTTCTCACTGTCGGCTGGTTTTATTTACTTCCTCAGCAAAGGAATATCCGTCTCCTTAGAATTAGACACAATGTGGTTAATGGAAAAAGCAAAAGCATTGGAGTCAGAAAGTTTTAATTTGATACCCAACTCAGGCCTGCATGACCCTGAGCAAGTTTTCCTTCCAGAACCACTGACTCCTCATCTATAAAACAAAATGGGTTACACCTGCCTCCAAGAGCTTCTTACAAGGACAGTGCCTGGCACAAAGGAGATGCCCCATAAATAGTAGTCCCCTTTGTACTTATTTTTTGCACCAAGCAGATGACAGGAGAATTCCACAGGTATAAAGTCACAGAGACAAAACTGCCTCCTTCCTATAGATGCCATTCCACATTCTGTGCTGTTACTTCAAACTATAAATTATATCATTATTCTTCATGTCTTTTGTTTTTATGAGGTGACAGTGAACAGGGCAAATAGTAAGAGTTGAACTATTATCTATAAAGAGTAACACTAGAATTATAATAGTGACCTATTCTTATATAACCTAAAGGAGAATTTTTTTAATTATTATAGTTATTTGAGATATAGAAAAGTAACTTAGAAATGATCCCCTTAGTCTTAACATCTGTTCATTGTAAAAACAAAAACAAAAAAACCCCCAAACTACCCCCCATTTTATATATATATATATATTTGAGTAATTCCTCAGATTATTCAGAGGGGGAATAATGAATGTATTATGGAAAATTTCAGATGGGCTTTCAACTTTGTGTCAACATTATACAATTTTAACCACAAGTCCCTTTCCATTGTGGTTTGCGATTATTTACCACTAGGTCCAAACAGAACAAAAGAATTGTCATCTGATAACCTTGCCTAAAGTTACATTTTTGGAGGTAAAAGCACCCAAAGGTAATTAGAATGATGTAGCTCTTTATAGTATAGGATAGAATGTTCCACATAAATTGAGGTTTGCAGGCCAACAGACTATTCTGGCCCCTGTTTTGCAGAAAAACATATACTTATTACACATGGTTGTCAGTAGCAGGTCAATCATGTCTATCCGTAGCCATCCACGGCTCTGTTGTTCCTAGAAGAAGCCCATTTTGTCCCTGCGAAGGATGACAAATGAGAGTTTTGCTGTGGTATCTACCTTTCTAAATGCCAAATGATCTCCTGGCAGTTTTTCTTGACATAAATATTATGAATTGCTGAAGAAGCCATCATTTTTCACACTTTATTGGTTTAGACACCTGGTGAAGTCTTCTGGGCTAAACTGAAGTAACAGGGGAAGCAACATGCCTAAATGTTCCTTGGACTGTCCTCAGTTGTGCAGTAATCAGCATTTGTCTCGGTCTGGTTGCTTACAGGAGAAGATGTATCAGGGAGTCTCTGCCCAGCATCCCCACCTCCGGAAAGGATGCCTTGTGAAATTCCCTGCCGAATGGATTGTGTGCTGAGTGAGTGGACAGAGTGGTCATCCTGTTCCCAGTCTTGTTCAAATAAAAATTCAGATGGGAAACAGACCAGGTCAAGGACTATCCTGGCATTGGCTGGAGAAGGTGAGTAATAAGAAAGGATTCGACAGTGGAGTCAATTGCTGACTTACTATTTTTTTTCTAGTAGGCAATTGAGAAAGTCATGTAGTAGAAGTAGCCACGGATAGGTGATAGCTCTGTTGCCTGAATCAAAATTAAGTTTCATTTCCATGCATGCCTTTTCTATTTAATCCTCTAGTTGATCTAGACTGGGTCCTATATTTACATGAATTGTCTTAGCTCAAACCTATGTATAGGCCATGGCAGTCAGATGGATGTTATTTTTCATTGTACTTTCTTGGGGACAAAAAAACCAAAGTTTGATTGACACACATCCAGCTTCAGGTAGCTCATACATTTGGGAATATAATTGGAATATGTCTGGTAAAAAGAGCTCCAAATGAGGAATCAAGAGACATGGCTTCTTGACCAGGCACTGCCACTAACGTCGGCCTGATTTCCTGTTCTGTCATGCTGGCATGTTGTGAGAGGGAAGAATATGAAGGCTCTGAACATAGCTTTGAAGAAGCTAAAATGTGCTATGGAAATGTAGACGGGTGACATCAGAACAAATTAGAGGAGCAGCTGTTTCTGTCATTTACAGCGATGGTGTGTGTCCCCAGACGCACATGTCCTTTCTTTCAGGCTCTCCCTTGGCTTCGTCTGCCTATGGCTCAGTTAGAACAGCAGGGTGGTGTGGCCACTGGCTGTGAGGAGCTCCTTTTGAAACAAGATTCTGTTCTGTGATCCTGAAAAATGGGGCCAGGGTCAAGATGAATGAAGATTTTCATATTCTTAAAGTGCAGTTACTTCACGCTCTTGTCTTTTATATTTCTAGAAGGAGAAAAAAGTCAGTAGTATTTAATGGGAAAAAAATAACAAGAATAACAAAACCAAGGTCACAAATCTTTTCGAGCATTTGGCCCACTGAATAAAACATCATAGGGTGGAAGAGTAGGAAAAAAATCAATATGTTAGATAAATGCCAGTTTTTACATGGATATAAAAATGTGAAAGAAAAGACAGTAATGAAGTTTGATTGTCTGACTCACCCAAGAGCGTAAGGATGCACATCTGTCTCGTCTCCCTGCCAGTGGATAACACATTGTCAGACATTATTTCAGAGTTTAAGGATGGGCTCTCTTCTGCCAAACTTTAAGAGACACTTCTGGATTTCTCAAATTGCATAAAATGCATTGCTTGATGGAGGATGGGTGTCTTAAAATGATTCGCTGAGAAAAATAATGCTCTCTTAGGAAAAAGAGGCCAGATATAGGCAATGTGTGTGTAAGTGTATATGTTTGACCTAATACCACTTTAAGGTCATGGGCTAGTGTCTCTAACGGACTAATTTATGTAGTCATCATGTAGCACTAAAATAAAAGCAGATTTCTTTGGAGTTTATCTCAGAGATACATGATCCAAAGGTGGGAAATAGAATCTGGTTTTTGTTGTTGTTGCTTTGTTTTGTTTTTGGTCTAATCAATGTATACTGCTGCTATTATTTAGGAGGGAAAAGTACAATAGATTACCCTCAGATTGTTACTCAGGACAAAAGGATCATGGCCCTAGAAAGGGCAGAAGGGTACAGAGTCCTGGGCCTTTGGAATCCTGTGTCAAAAACACCATCTTTGTGGACCATTAAAATAGCAAAAACAACAAAAATAAGAACGACATAACAGCAACCTGGTAATAACAACAGCAACGACTATGTATTCTTTTGTATTTTGATTTTCACAGGTGGAAAACTGTGTCCCCCTAGTCAGGCCCTCCAAGAATATCGTTCATGCAATGACCATTCCTGTATGCAGCTCTACTGGGAGACATTGCCCTGGGGCCCCTGTTCTGAAGACACGTTGGTAACTGCCCTTAATGCCACCATTGGCTGGACTGGAGAAGCTACCTGTGGTGTGGGCATTCAGACACGGAGGGTCTTCTGTGTCAAGAGTCACGTGGGACAAGTGATGACCAAAAGGTATCACCAATAATTTATTGAAAGTGCATATGATTATTGCATGGTTGAGTATTTTTAGTCAAAAACATTTATCAAGCAATGAATATGCTGGGGGAAAAGGAATTTGTTTCATTTGACTCTTAACGACTAGAATTTATCTCTCAAAAACAAAGGTAGAAACAGTTAAAATATGGATCATTAGTAAGATTATAATACATGCATTAGCTAATGGAAAGTAAATGTGGCCCACAAATATTGAATCTGTTTGAGTAATCAAACATTTTCTTGACCTCATCTCAGTATTTTTGGCGTTTTTTCAATGATGTGAAGACTAGGTCAATGTGAAGGTAAGTTCTCCACTTTGAAAGGATAAGGTTTTGTTACACTCTTTGTTGGGTTCCATTGATCTTTTGTGCAGTGGGCACTAAATCCATATAGCCGTGTGAATAGACTAATTCATGCCTGTGAGTAGGTTGCAATCTCATACATGGTAGACTCTGTACCTGAAGATCTAAATCTAAAAAAAAAAACAAAACAAAAAAAATAGGATAACTTGGACATGGGAGCTAGAATATAGATATCAAAAAGGGTCAGGGGCAATTACAAGTGATAGAGGAAAAAGAGTAATTAGGCAGAGAACTCAGCTGTGGGAGTTTTATTGCTAGACCAAATGAGGAGATGTGACTTTTCCTCAGTCTATCTGGGAAGCCTCTGGAAAAGAAAATGTAAAGCACCTATGAAATATACAGTGACTGGGTAACTGCCCTGTCCATGGAGATTTTCTAGTGGATGTGTTTCAACTAGTCTCTTCCTTGTGGTAGAAGACTCTACCCCTGTCACAGGGGTGATATATCCCCAGGATGGGCATGCTCAAGCTTTTGTCTAGAGTCACAAATGAGGCAACTTAGAGCGCTTCTCCGGGAATTTCTGAGTTGGGAAAATGAATCCCTCTCTTCATTCTGTTCATGAGGCTCTAAGTATATGCATTGACAGTTGCCATAGGCATGGTCCTAAAAGAAAAAGGCAAAAGGAGTGGAAGTGATGCTCAGAAAGAAGCAGAAACTGAAGCAGAACATATCCTGGCAGCATCAAGCCCTTGTCCCATCTCACTAAACATGCCCCTACCTTTCCCGGCAATGTGGGCAGGCACATTTTCTCTTCCACCTAATTCGATCCAATTTGCGCTGCTGTCCTGGGCAACTGAAACACCTGATTAATTTCACCTTGGGCCACCTTGACACTAGGCGCTGGGCCTTATCCACCCTGGCATGGAAACCACAAGAGTTGTGTAAGGAAAGTCATAGGAGCCCAGTTAAGGGAAGCGAACCGCTGCTGGCCGAAGCAGTACAGACTGGCCAGGTCCTGCTGGGTTGGAGCATCCGATGTGCAGATGGCTCTGCAGATGCAAGCAGAGATGATATGACTTGCAGTGAAGCACTGTCCACAAGACCTCCTCTCTCTCTCTCTCTCCCACAGGGCTGGAATTGGATGTTCTTAATTGCCGCAACCCCAGACTTTGGCACAATGTCTGGCATATAGTTAGTGTACCATAAATGACTTTGGAATCCATGACTGAACCAGATTGATGTGTAGGAAAGTTACAGGGTTCAACAAGGATTGGATATGAATTGCAGGAGATCGAGAAAAGCTGATATCTCTCCTTTGTTCAAGAAAAATTACTTGATCCACCATCATAATTTTGGCAAAGGGGACTGCCGTAAAGAGTAATGACTAGATCGGATATATGACCTCCTACTCTTATTCATTCATAAATGTTATTTCTGCTTTAGACCTGACTCTACATTGCTTGTGCTGTTTTTGGAATATCAAATGACGTCCGTTGTGTTTTGCAACTTACCTGGTATGCATAGCACTACATGGACTGATTGAATCAATGGGAGTTATAGCCAAACGTGGACAATAATGTTTTACATATCACCTGGCTCAGGTGAAAATCTAATTCACAGGGTTATGGTAAAATCCTTAAAGGCTTGTAAAGATACTATTCAGACATGAGAACTTTTATCTTGAGAAGGATTGCAGCCTTGATAATGTTCATTTTTATGATGTAAATTTTCAGCTACTTAAAAAAGACACGTGAAATATCAGCTTGAATATACAAATAAAATTAAATATGGCTTAGGTATAGTAGTAAACTCTACATAAAATGCAGCAAACTATTATTCCTTATTGTGATGAGAAAATTTAGCATGCCTGATATCTGATCTTCTCCCTGACACAAAACTTCTCAGCTCTGAACCAGAACAGGAAAAATCCACTTGATACAAGTACAGTTTGTTTATTTCTTAGCAAAGGGACATTAGAATTAAGAGTGACACCAAGTAAATTGCCACATTTAAAGGACTATTTGGACATGAAAAGTTGGATTATATGATCAGGAAGCCCCTTTTCTATTATAATTACTTCAAATGACAGGTGTTGTTTTTGTTTTTGTTTGTAAAAGCCTGAGCACATAAATGTTATTATTGTGAATAACCCCTAGTTTTGCTCAGCTTACCATCACAGAAAAATGAATCGTACAGATATTTTCCCAACACACACACGTGTTACACACACACACACATTGCTAATTACTTTTTACCCTGCTAAGGAGGCTGGAGACTTAACAACTTAGGTTGAATTCTTACTGTATGTCTCCAAACAACCCTGCTAAATATGAGGAGCCTGGATTGACTTGAGTAAAATTAATTTAAAAATTTTAGGTTAAAGAGATTAATTGAGCTAAGAAATTAATACCTAGTGTCCACTGAAGCGCATAGTGAGATAGTGAAACTATCAGCAGTAGAAAATATCTTTTGTTCTGCCCTTCTGAAAAATATATATTTTTTGTTCTTTTTTATGTGAAAGCTATTACAGTAGGAAAAGATTCCCTGCCATTTGTGAAATCCTTGGGGTGGGGGTAGGGGAATAGAAACAGAAAAGGAGAAGGAAACATCCTGAAGAAAGAGGGGCCTTCAGGGTACAGAGAAAGAAGCATGTCTCCATGGAACGGTTGGGCTAATATAATGTGTTTTATCTCCAAGTCCACTGCACTGGAAGGCAGAGTTCCTTGCAAGTTCTCGCTTCCCTGGGTTGGTGTTTTGGTCTCTATGCAGTTGTATAGGTGAGACTGTTACCATTGTATGAGTAATAGAACTGATCATATCAGAAAATGAGAACTAGCCAGGGCAGAAGTGGAACAGAAGTGAGAGCTTATTGGGATAGTTCCGGGGTTTTGTTTAGTTTTGTTTCACTATTCATTGTTGTTGTTTTTTTTTTTCAGTCGCAGTATACAAAAAAGGTAATAATAATAAAAAAGATTAAAAACATACAGTTTGGAGCCTTCCTAAATCCTGATAAGGCACTTTCTGCCTTTAATGTGAAAACACCTGGCATTGTGTGAGATATAATAATACAGAGCTCCATTTAAACATTTAATGTGACAGAGTTGGCAGGTTTGCCCCACCTAGCTGAGTGAGACGTGCATTGGTTCCTGGGTCAGAGGACTGATCAAAGAAATGGAGCATCATCTCTGCATCTGGATTATGGAGGCCTAACTGAAAAATGGCAGGTCTTTGTAGCTCAGTTTGATGCATTTCAGCACAGTGCTTATAAGGAGCTGAAGGCTATGGGGCGACAACGAGATAGTAGTTATAGAGCATTCCAGTGCTGGTCCAGGTAAATATATGTGCTGAAGTGAAATACATTCATCCTTTTATTGAAAGCACTGCCAATCTAGAGTCTGAGTGTCACATGAAGTTAGGAAGTATAAATTATGACAAAAGCCAAGGGGCCATACTTTGTTTACTAACTAAAAAGTGAATCCATATGTTTCCCTAGGTTTTAAGGCTTTAATTTTGTTTTGGAAATGGCTGGATAAATTAGCCTAATATCCCCAGGGATTTATTTGTCTTCAGGCTCCAATAACATTGAATACAATTCAATCATTCACTTACTGTTATTAAATATTTACACTGAGCTAAAATATGGCACTTTTAAGATATAAGATGGAATTCCACCATCAAGGCATTAAAAATTAGTTTATGTATTGTGCATAAATACACAGGCACACAAACACACGGAGACATGCACACGCACGCACACACACACACATGAAAACAGCATGAAAGCAGTCAAAACCCTTTTGATCAATGTCAATACAACAATACCAAAAATAAACCTTCCGGTTTTTGTTAGAAATGGAGGGCACACATGTTGCTAATGGTCAAAGACAGTATTTTTGAAGGCCAAGAAGGAACTTATGAAAATTAGAAATGTGATGATTCTTGAAGGGGTAGACATTATGTGAATAGAAAGGAAGAAGAAGTGAACCCCTGCAGAAAGGGTCAACCTTACTGGCAAAAGAATTGAACAAAAAAAAAACGTTTTCACTGACAAGAGAATATTTGGCTCCTATCAGACCAAAAATCACATTCCAGTTCATGGCCTCTATAAAAGCAATATAACCTGAGCTTGATCTTTGCCACTGAGGAGATGATACTGTTTCTCTCTTTTGGACTTAAGGGAAGAAGGGAAGAATGTGCAGAGAGAAAGGGGCTGTATTATGAAAAGCTGATACTATGCCCAGTGAGTATTTATTGTGAGTGTTGCTAATCAAGGGTAAATCAAGTAGGCAAGATCAGTTCCCTGGAAGAGATTAACATCTACTCCTAATTGAAGTGAGCAAAATCCCTTCAAGATCAGCCTCCCTCTGAAGCCTGAAGCCAGTGCCACAAATATTTCTAAGCTGTTTTGCCAATGGACGAGTGAGTGTGAAATGGCTGGTTGGGCGTGGGGTCCCTGCTGCCCCACTGAGCACGTAGGAAGCTGGCGTTGCTCAAGTCACACTTCCATTTCCAACCATACGCCAGGCGCTGTTGGAGAGGAGTTAGAATAAAGAGCAGCTCAATTTAATTTTAGTAGACCTCAGAATGTGCATAAAGACTTGGGAATGATTTTAGCGTTTTTTGCTATCTCTAATAAAGTATGACATAAATTTTCCTTACCCAAGTAGCTTGTTTAAGTAACACTGTATTCTCACAAAGACACTCTTCTTTCTTTCTATTGTTTTGTTTATTGAATTGATCTCTTTGATAGACAGCATTTCTGTGTATACTAAGGATGATTAATAATAATGCCACTAATAATTTATTGGGCAATTCTTTTTCTGTATGTCTACTTTCCATTTTTATCCAAGTTTCATATAGTCCATAGAAGAAGTAAAATAATACAGAGAGACTAATGATGGCAAGCCATAGGTCCCACCCATCTCCCGCTCCGTTTAGTATCCTACATCTCAAACACAACCACAGCCATATTTTAGCAGTTGTTCTATGTGTTCTGTCTGTCTCCGTCTCTGTCTCTGCACCCCCCACCCCATTTTGACTGGGTAAGCTTTCACATGGTTCACAAATCATAATGACATGCAAGGAGAAATATAATATATAACAAAGAGAAGCCTGATGCTCACAGCCCTTCTCCCACCCCCCTCTCCCTGCCCCCTATCCTGCCACTAAGCCACTGTGTTAGTGTCTCATCTCCGTCCATTGTATCTTTATGTCAGTACAAGTATATATTCTTAGTCCTCTTCCCTTTCTCATGTTTACCTCTTAACTCTAAATGATACATTTTCCACACATCATTCATACCTCTCCTCACTTACCAATTTATAATGCCCATTCCTTGATTCCGTCTCGTGAAAGCAATGAACCTAAGCCCACTTAAACTAACTCCTGTCTCAAATCCCAGATTGTTGGTGTTCTGTGGGTAGGTTGCATTGGTACTCTTGATTGATCTTTTTAGAACTTTATTTCTGTCTTCATTTACATTTAGATCGTAACTCTGCCCACCTACTTTGTCAGATAGGGACAACCAAGCCTCCACTCTGTCTCTCTCCCCTTCCAGCTCCCCCGCTTTGTCCACTGTGTCTTTACCTGATGGTGGCATGAATGATATCATGTACATTCTGTTCCACGGTCAAGTTCTGTCTTCCACATTTGGCTTATATATTTTTAACATTTTAAAACTAAGAAAATGTTTTCATTTTGATCATTATCTAAATTGATGAGGTCTGATGTCAGCCAGATTCTTGGGTGACCAATTTTTCTTCCTCTTCTCCCACATCCATTATTGTCTGTCTTTTTACTTTGTCTTGGTGTTTGAAAACTGGACAACCTTTGCATTGGCATGTTGGTCATTTTGTATAAAATTCTTGGACTTTTCATCTGAACTTTTTTTTTTTTAAATTCATCTTTTCCTCATTAGCTTTATCTCCTCTGTTTTCTCTTCTCTCCTTCAAGAAGGTCTATTGATTGTCTGAACTTGCTACACTGGTGTTTTTTTTTTTCTATCATAATTTGCCTCAAATGGTCTCTCCCCATGTGGCTTTGGGTCCATTACTGATTATTCCAGTGCCTCAGTTTATCATGTGAAAATGAAGGTTATAATGCCTCTCACTGTTGTCATAAGGAATAAATGAAAGAAGCTAGCCAAAGCCCTTAACTCAGCACTGCCTACTTAATACCAGAGCTCATATTGCTAAGCTTTACCCACACTGCATTTATGTGCTTTATGAGGAACTTATGGGGAACAGAATTTAAAATGCAAATATATGTTGCTGAGGGCTTTCCTGTTTTTCTTTTTGACATATCACCGTTTTAGAAGACAATCAATGTAGTTTTTAGCCCTTTGTGTTCGTAAAACAAGTAAGCAGGCAAGAAAACAAACAGAGGCTTGATTGCCATTTTCTGAGACTTTAGTTCTTCCAAGTGATTATGAATCAATTGACTATAGTATTTTCCTCCCAAATGTGAGCATTCATTATCAGTAAAATAACAGAACTGCAGTGTTTCTCTTGCTAATGCTAGTTAGTGTATTTGACATTTGCCACCTGTCATATTTTGCTCATCAATCCACATGTTCTAAAGAGATACCTGCCAGTCGTTTAAATATTCTAAAGTTCTGTTCATTATCAAAGATGTAGAGTATATTTAAGTGGTTTTCAGTGATTTTTGTTTCCCAATATGTTCACATATTGCCTTGTATTTCCCTGTTCCTTTTGTAGAATATCACTGATTTGATATATTATCCCGAATAAAATGCTTTTCAAGAAAAATATCAGATGTGTTCATTCAGGAAAAAAAAATCAAATGTCATTTGAATTGATGCTGATGGTGACACTTTCTTGTGAAGGCATTCCCTTTCATTAGTTTCAGGGATTGCTCTTTTCCTGGATGAGTGAAAAGTATTTTGGTCTCAAGGTCAAGAGAACTGAAGTTGCCTTTGACTCTGCCATTGGCTGGGAGCCCTTGGGCAAGCAGCCTCACCTCCCTGGCTCTCTCTTCCTTGTCTATAGAAGGAACAACAGGCCCTCAGTGTTTTCTGTTCTGAAATCCTACAGTTCTCTGCTAAGCCACTTACTTCTTCCAGGAGGCATTGATATTGTCTCTTCACATTGACAGATGTCCAGATTCGACTCGGCCTGAAACAGTGCGTCCTTGCCTTCTCCCGTGCAAAAAAGACTGCATTGTGACAGCTTTCAGTGAGTGGACGCCCTGCCCGAGGTCCTGCCAACCAGGTCGGTGCATTCTGTTTTTAGTGCTTTTCTTCCTAACCCACCTGAATTGTCTTCCTCACTGCTAAATAAATGAGAGACTGTAGAACGGGAGCATCTTTCTTTTCCATTTGCATGTCCCCCTGGGAAGCAAGTTTGGTAAAATTTGTAAATGAAGCCTTGAATTTCCAGATCCGTCAGGACTTGGCAGGGAAAACATATTCAGTTGCTAGATGCTGTAATGTCACTGGTTACTCAACTGGAGTGCATTGCAAGAGTGCTCATCCTCAGGGATCCCTGTTGTGGTGTTTTGAAAAGCCATTCACATGTGGTTCCTTCTAAAGCCTCATCACCAACACCGTTTCTTTGTGGCTCCTGTGTGCTGGGAGTCTGACTGGGGGCATCTTTATTAGACTATAGGGCCTTAAGCATTGTGCTTACATCACTGATAAATAGAAGCCTGTGGAGGAACAAGGACAGATATGTAAAAAGTGTTGAATAGGTACGGGAATTCACAATATAAGATTTGTGTTTCTTTACTATAAATGGTGATACTTTATACACCTGGATGTATTTAGAGGACAATGATCTAGCATAGTTAATACCTAAGTCCTAAAAAACACACAGGAGCACTTTGGTAAAATGCCCCTCTTTCTTAGAACGGGTCTTTCCCCCCATGCTTATTTCACTCCCCCTGATGAGCTAGTCCGTGTGGAGATACAAGTACTCCTCTAGTCCAAAAGCTCCATTTCCACCTAAGAGCTAGAGTTAATAATTTGGTTCTTCTCCCATAGTCTCACACCCTAGCCTTGGTCCAGTGGATCTTACCATTGCCACAGTAAGAAAAGGCAACTCCAAGGAAAGGAAGGATGCATAGAATCATAACCCTAGTGCCCAGAGTAAATTGGGTTTCATCCACACATCCTAGCCTTCTCTGGCTAGTAATGTCTTCTCAGGCAGGACCAGGCTGTACTAGCCTTCTGGAAGAAGGGGCAAGGATATACTGTATGCGGTTCTGGGAGGAGAGAACTTATCCCAGAGATTGAGAGCATTCACACCTTTCCTTGGGAAAGTCCATCCCTGTGCATCTAGGATCCCCCACGTTCTTTGACTCACACGTTGTGTGATATGAAAAGGGGACCAACATTGACATGGATCTGCCTGACACATCAAACCCCCCCCCGGGGGGGGGGTTGATTGGCAAAGGGGTAGTGACAGCTATGGAAGATTGTCACCATCTGTGTCTTACATTGCAGTGGTGGGGAACCTGCATAAGGTTTTCATAACCATGCCATTTCATCTTCTTAATGTTCTTTTGTCATAGAATTAACATGGTTGTATCCAGTGATCTTTGTTATGGATAGCATTAAAATAAATAGTTTGAAAATGAAAGAACTTTGAAAACTACAGTGGAACATTTTTCTGATCTTTTGAGCGATAAAAATAACAGTGTCTTCCAGAAACTTTTCCAAACTCATTATCTGAATGGGGATATCAAGTAGGTGAACTAACTGAATGAACAGGATAATGTCACTTCCAGACAGATCGAGACAGAAGAGCTGTGATCTCTCTGAACCATTTGAAAGGCAGCATCTAGGAGGCTGACTTTTGGAATTTTAGTGGTAATGTACTTGAAAGACATTCAAAGATAAATAAAGATAAATATTGGGAAAATGCAGGAAAAGAAAATAAGTTATGATGAAGGAGTTTAATTGAGATTCAGCTATTTCTTTTAGTTTCTTCCTCACGAGAAATTAGCATAATTCCTTTGTTAAGTGATTATAAGAGAGGAAAGACTGAATTAAAAGAATACCCCACTGGCAACCAGATACTGGTGTTGGAGCTGTCAGGGTCCCCTGACATTGAAGGAGGCATATTGATTTTGTTGAGCCAGTGCACCCTAGTGGCTGGAGATTACTTCAGCTACTGCTCTTGCATGTATTCTACATTCAAGAAAATTCTCTGCTGCCTGAGAGTCTTCTAGCACTGGCTAAGGATGGAGGAATCAGAGAGCATGTGAAATAATTGCTCTTCTGGCAATTTTAAATTTTACTTCAATTTCCAGAGATTCAATTAGTTATTTAAATGGTTGGCATTGTAATGAAAATAGTTCTAAGCCTCTGTGGTCTTTTTTTGCCTCCAATTTTTCAAGCCTAGGTAATTCTTTTCACAGCCTGGCAGCCAGGGGACCTGGAGGAGCAAAGATTCAATTTTCAGATTTATTCTAACTTTCCACTTCAATCCTATTTATCCTCATGTTTAGTTTATACCTTGGGACCAATAAATTATTAAGTAACTCTGGGTTAATTAGGGGGACTATGAGAGGGAGGAGAATATTGAAGGAAATTGTACGTCTAAACCTATGGTCCTCAGACTTTATTGTTTTTAAATCATCTGGAAGCATTACTAAAATGCAGATATTCAGCTCCATAGCTAGATATTCTGATTCGGTAACTATGGGATGATCCCCAAAAATATGTGTTGTAAGTAGCTGCTCCTGAATGTTAATGCATTCTCCTTCTGATGATTAAAAAAAAAAAAAAAAAAGATCCGTGAACAAACACTGCTTGAACTCTGGACATATGGCCTGTTTTTCAGCTTGTATGCATCATGTTCTTCCCAGCTCAACAGTTGTAAAGTGTGATAGCTAAGAACATAGATGCTGGAGCCAGATGGACAAGGTTGAGTTTCAGAGTTTGTTCTATGATGGGCACACTTCATACTTCATCTCTCTGTGCCTTAGTTTCCTTGTTTATAAAACAGGGTTAATAGTCACACCTACATATATGGAAAGCACCCAGAGCCCTGCCTTGCATGGAGTAAGCACTAGGCAAGCATTTCCATAGTTGCTTTGAGCCTTTGCACCTGTTGTGTTTGAAGCTGTCACTGTATTCAGATGCCCCACCTGTTTTGACCCTATGCGTCCACAGGGACCTGCATTAGCGGCATTTCCCCAGGAATGCTATTCTCATGTTCCAGATCTCCCAGATGTGTTAGACCATCCCCAGTTTACTTCATTAACTAGATAATCCCAGGGCATCCTGCACATCCCCCTTTATAATATCCCCGTAGTTATCTTTCCATGTCAATATTGTCCTTGCTATAAGTCCATGAATTCAGACCCCACTTCTGTCATCTTCACTGCTGGATCCTCTAAACCCAGCACAGTATGAGACGTAGTTGTCACTCAGTAACTACTTTTTGAATGGACAGATGTCCTGTAAAGAGAGGGAATGGTGTGACTTTGAATCCAGGCAGGATACTCTCTGTCCTTGAGAGTGTCCTTCAAAATATACTTTGGAGAATGGTGTTCTTGAATAATACTTCTCAAATTTAAACGTTCATACAAATTCCCTGGGGATCTTAGTAAATGCAGATTCTAATTCAGTAGACCCAGATGGGTTCTGGAATTGTACCTTTCTGTAAGCTCGCAGGTAACTATATTTTGATTGCGAAGCTCCAGATCAGAATGGGGTTCATTAGAAATTTTTGAACAAGGTAATGATGTGGTCGAAGTTGTAAAGTGAGAAGCACAGCCAGGAACAAATCAGCAGGTGAGCACACAGGTGAGGTATGATGTGGGGTGAAGAGAAATGGTTTAACCTACACTGAGAAATCAGGAGAAACATGGGGCAGAGCAGGTGACAATCTCAGCTAAAGAGGAAGGAGGAGCTCTTTTTTGCAGCTGTGGTTTCAGATTGGTTTGTCAAATTTTCATGGTCCCCAAATTTGGTTGCACAGTGGAATCACCTAGAGATCTCTAGAATATACTTTTATGTTTGGGTTCTTCTCCAAGACATCATGATTTAATAGGCTTTTCATATGATCAGGGAATCACTGGGTTTTATGAACCTCAAGCCAAACCCATTTGAAACCTCTCAGAGAGCCAATGGGGCTTCAGGGACCTGAGTGCACCAGGAGTGATTTGTGCCTTAGCCATGGATGAGTTGTGTCAGCTTTTATTTGGTCCTGGCTGGGTTCGTGAACTAAATCCTATGACTTGGAAGAATCCTCAAGCCATGAATGATCTCTAGCTAGTAGCCAGCCACTGCTCCTGCCTTCATACTCCTCCTCATCTGTGTCTCTCTTTAAATGCTTAATGATAGTCTCATTCTTCTAAGCAAATTAGATATTTGTCAAGCTGTGGCCCTATTGTGGCCTCTCTGATTTTTAAGTTCCAGTAATAAATGTGCCAAATGATCAAGAATCAACCTTTGGTACTTTACTTACTGTTTTCTTTTATCCTTCCTTCAGCCTATAGAGCAAACGCCTGCCTGAAGTATTCAATGTAATTTGCTTAATAATGACAACAGTTTTCTTATTGTAGAGGTTCTCAGCCCTGTGTAGTTTTTTTTTTTTTCCAATGCACAGATGTCCAAGACTCACCCTAGCCCCTGTTAGTCAGAATCTCTTCATGCTGAAGGGACATTTGCAATATTAAAACTCTCCTCAAGTGACTCCTTAAGTGGGTAAGGCTGAGAAACACTCAGTGCTTTATACTGTGCGACATGCTTTCACATACATTTCAACCTATTGTAGGAGATCATTGATAATTGTTTGTCTTGGTTTTTTGGGGAATTATCTTGGCCACTGCTCTTGTAACCATCACACTTCATGTTTTTACTTAAAAGTCACAAATCAGTAGATTTTCCAGGATTTCTCCCAGGTTATCTTTAAAGGGGCTCACTTTCTATTTCCAGAATTGGATTATATGAAGTTTCAGACATGTACATAAATTAATACAATGTTAATGCAGAATATTAACTATTAATAGAACATGCTCTTGTGTAACCATTGCTAAGTGAAAACAATCATCAACTTACTTGTTTTCCGTGTGCTACTACCATCTTCCCCCTTTCTAACACCCCACCCATGGATTATTTTGAAATAATTCCCAGATTTGTATACCACTTCTATAGAAGGGAAAATATGTAGGAAGTAAAGTTATTGGACTAGAAGATAAAATGTGCCATATTCAAAATAGCTCTTCTTATAAATTCCTACAAACCACAGAGCTAATGATT